CATTGATTGCTTCTTAATGTAAATTTATCATTTAAATTCAATTAAAACTGACACAATTATAGTTTTAAGTTATGTAGTTTAATAATATTATATATATTATAACATTAAAATCCAAGTTATTAAAATAATTTTCAGAATATTTTTATGAATGAACACTGCCTTCCCCCAAACAAAACCAATAATAATAATGAGAGATCTCTAGTACATAAAAAAGTGTTGAGCAACTGTCGTATTTTATTTTTTATTAGTATTAGGACATTAGGAGATTGCAGGAGCTCTTCTATTGGCTCTATAATTATCACTAATTATACAGCTGTTCATTTAATTACATATATGTTGCGCTCCTGTACTATATACCTCCTACCCTCATAATAAAAAATAAAGATCTTAGACCAAAAATTTGAACGGAAAATGGTGTTATTCATCTGGTTATTTTTATCTAGACATTTTGCCCTTGAATTCAATATAATTGGAAAAGAGAAGCTATCACACTTATTCTCTTTCAACTTAGTTACTTCTTACTTTTAAATAAGATAAAAGATCATCAAAATACTGATTTCATTTTTTTTTTTGACATGATAGATTTATCATAAAATATGAGGGAACCAATCCTTGTTATAGTTAGTCATCACCCGTAAAGAATTGATAAAGTTGTGATTACTTATCAATAAATCAAAGATAAAATTTTATGGTATTATTATTAAATTATTTCCGTGAGGCCATAAATGATCATTCTAAAGACCATAAGAAGATTTGATACAGCAATATCCCAGCTTCTTTCCCGAGATTGAATTTTACCTCAAATCGATAAAAATTCAATCATGTGAATTTGATGTTCTTAAGGTAATCCATTCTTACATTATATAATCTAAACGCGTCCATATGGAACATACATATTCAAGAATATATGGTTACTGACTATGCCGGTTAAGTATACTTTAAGTGATTCGGTAATAATATATTACCAATAAATAAGTATATTAATTTAATCAGAACACTATTGTAAAAAATAATAAACTGTACTCACATATTAATACTGAAAAGCACCAGCTCAGAAATTATTTCAATAGACTTACCTGAAAACATTAAAAAATATATAAATTAAATTGTAATTGATTTGATATAAAACAAACAGTTACAAATTGAAATAAAATAACTCTAGACACTATATAAAAAGAAATATGAACAAGTTTTTAACTAAGTAATTTCATTTTGACAAGAAATATTTCACAATTTTTTCTTCGAAAATTCTTTATTGAGATATACTACAACCTGTCACATCTAAGGACATTAGTAATAGTAATAAGAGTAACTCATTCACACAATGAACAATAAATAAAAATAAATAAACAGCAAAATAATAATATAAATAAAAATATAATATATATAAACTATAGGCTAGAGGCGAAATGAAAAAAAATATAATTAATGTTTTTTTTTTCTTCTAAAAATGCTCTAATCTCTTGTATCCAATTTAGAGAGCAGCATAGAATCAGAATGACATATATAACCAAAATAAACAGATGGTTTCTATGATGAAAACATTCTTGTCTTGTATTCCGTCTTTTTGAACGTTTTTGAGAAAAAAAACATCTCGGAAGATGCAGATGCAGGAAGCCAGCAGACCCAACAATAGGAACCCCAACAAACGAGGAAGGAAAAAAGCTGACTGGATGATAAATCGAAGGGGCGACACTATTCAAGTACTCGAAGGCGGCAATATGAAGGGAATGGGAATTCATTCTCCCCAAGAGGCGAATGGGACATGACAGGCTGGTGAGGGATGTAAAGTGTTTAGGGGTGGGATGTCACAGCATCTGCGGCGACTGGAGGCAGCAAGGGAGGATGCAGCATATTTCGAAAGAAAGAATTGAAAGGAATTTAATTCAAAAACATCATTCAGAGAATAAATGCCAATTATTGAGATGAATAAAGCCACCAAAGCGTCTAAAGTCTTCCAACTTTTTTCAGCTAGCACTACAACACGATGCTATGAATGAAAGAAGAAATATTTACATATAAATTCTTACACATCTGCAGATGTTATTGGAATTCATAAGGAATTTACTCACAACTGCCAAAACAAAATTTTCAACAAATGGGCAACGAACTACGCGGATGCTGACAAGAACGAACTATCAAGCTTATATTTGTTTACTCTTCTGTACTTTGTATGCTTGTTTTATTATAACAGTGAGTTTCTTCGCATAAGTGTAATATAAAATAATAAATCTGTTCTTAGTTTTTGGCAATAATGACTTCCAATTAAACAACAATTGTTTTATTTGTTGCGTATCCAAATTACATGTTTGCCTGTTAACGTTTAGGGATATTTACTCCCATCTTCAGAACTACAATCCCAATGTTTTTTGTTGATTCATGGCTAAAAATTGAGTTAAAATCAACACATAACAATACATGTCAGAATTGGGTCGTTACATTAAATTTGTAATTATCTTAAATCTAATGTGCTCCATTATCAGGTTCTAAATTCATGTTA